ACTTATTCAATCTATATGCTGAGCAAATAATCTGAGAAGCTGGACTATATGAAGCAAAACGTGGCATCAGGATTGGAGGAAGAATCATTAACATCCTGAGATACGCAGACGATACAACTTTGCTTGCTGAAAGTGAGGATGATTTGAGGCACTTACTGATGAAGGTTGAAGAATAAATACAGTCTACAGTATGGATTATGTCTCAATATAAAGAAAACGAAAATCCTCATAACTGGACCAATGAGCAGCATCACAATAAATGGAGAGAAGATTGAGGTTGTCAAAGAATTCCTGTTGCTTGGTTCTACAGTCGATGCCAATGGAAGCAGCAGTCAGGACATTAGATGACGTGTAGCATTGGGAAAGTCAACCACAAAGGAACCGTTTCACATGCTGAGGAGCAAGGATGTTCTCCTTGGGGACTAAGGTGTGCCTGACACAAGCCATGATATTTCCAATCACCTTGTATGCATGTGAGAGGTGAACAACGAATAAGGAAGACCAAAGAAAAGTTGATGGTTTTGAGTTGTGGTGCTGGCAAAGAATGCTGAAAGTACCATGGACTGCTAAAAGAACTAACAGATCTGTCCTGGAGGAAGTACACCTGAAATGCTTCTTGGAAGCGAGAATGGTCAGACTTCGTCTCACCTATTTTGGTCATGTCAGAAGGGACGATTCCTTAGAGAAGGATGTTATGCTTGGTAAGGTGGAGGGTCGACGAAAGAGGGGGAGGCCTTCAACAAGATCCATTGACATGGTGGCTGTGATGATGGGCTCAAGTATAGCAGGAATGGTGGAGCTGGCGCAGGATCGGGCAGTGTTTCGTTCTGCTGTGCATGGGGTCGCTATGAGTAGGAGACGACTTGACAACACCTAATAACAACAACAATCGATGTAGGCTGTGTCTTAACTTGTTGTTGTTATGTGCCATAAGTTGGATCCAACTCATAGTGACCCCTCTTTGGGTTTCTGAAGCGGTATCACTATGGAATTAGATTGTCCAACCTTCCATCCCAGGAGTGACTGGTGGGTTTGAACCGCCAGCCTTTTGCTTAGCGGTCGAGTGTCTTAGGCACTATGCTACCAAAGCTCCTGTCTTAAACCTAATTACTTTCAAATTATAAAAAAGAGCAGATTAGCAGAAGGAAACAAGGACAAATGGAGGAAAGACAGATGCCATCTGGAGGGATATTAGGAATGCTAGAGAAATTGGTAGTGTAGGGCCTAAGGCATTTGACTGCTAACCAGAAGGCTAGTGATTCACACGCACTCCTTGGAAGGATGGTTGTCCAATCTACTTCTGTAGTGATACCTCCTGGGAAACCCAAGGAGGGGTCACTATGAGTCTGAAACCACTTGACAGCAGTGAGTTTGGTTTGGTTTAAGAAACTGAGACAAGCACTTTACCCTAGAGGTTGTTGTTGTTGTTGTTTGCCGTCGAGTCGGCCCCGACTCATAGCGACCCCTCCTTGGGTTTCCGAGGCAGTATCACTACTGAAGTAGGATTGCCCAACCTTCCTTCCGAGGAGTGTAGGGGTAGTGATCTGAACTCAGATGTCTAGCCTACTAAACTTGAGATGATAAGTTTCTGTTTGTTAAAGCCACCCACTTCTGGTATTTCTGTTACAGCAGCACTAAGTAGAAAACTAAGACATTCCTCAAATGTATTCTCCAGCTTCTCACATCCCTGCCCATGACTAGCAACTGCTGCCATCTTGCTCAGGGGCACACACTCGTCTTTAAGTTGCTGGGCACCTGGGAAGGTCTGCACTAGTCACATCAGTATTCTGTGCTTGAGGGTGTGCTATATTAGAAAGATAAAAAAAAAAAAAAAGTAATTTTTTAAAAACTCACCATAAGAGGTCAAAAGTGGAGGAAGGGTATAAATTATTTTCTGCTTTTTGAACAAGGGATCCTATATTTTCATTTTGTACTGGACCCAGCAAATTATGTAGTCTGTTTGGAGTCCTCCAGCAGTGGTCTGCCCTACCTGGGTGACTCTGGGCAAACATTTGGATACTCTTAAAGTCAATGTCCCCATTTATAAAATGACAACAATAGTTCCTTTCTTGTTGGATTTCTCTTTAGATCCTGGAGCTAAATCATGCTAAGCATCTGGCTCTGTCCTTGACTTAGTTTAATGCTCAGTTCTAGAAAGTGATTAACTACTCCAAAAAAAAAGCAAACTCACTACCATGGAGACGGATCAGACTCATGAAGATCTCTCCTTGGGTTTCTCAGGCGGTATCACTACAAAAGTAGATCGCCCAACTTGCCTTCCCAAGAGTGGCTGGTGGGTTGGAACCGCCAGCCTTCAGGTTAGCAATCAAATGCCTTAGGCACTACACCAGCAGAGCTCCTGATTAACTACTAGTTAAAAAAAAAAAAAAAGTTGAGTCTATTCCCAATCACGGTGACCCCACAATAATGGATTAGTTCATAGTTACTACATTAGCTAATTCAAACTCACTCCGTGTCCTCCACCTAAAGCTTTTCCCACAGGCAGACTAACAAATGAGCACTGCATAATTGTAAACTTTCTCATAGTGTGTCGGTGCAAAAGTCGATACTCAAATGCAAGATTCTTTCACAAAAGCTCTTTCGCCCCCACTGAGAAACATAAAAAACAAACTTCCGACAACTTCTCAGGCAGTCTACAAGTGGATGTAATTAAACTTCTAAAACCGGCAACAAACAGGTACTACAGCGCCCTCTGGATGCCGGGCTCAAGACCGGTTTCCATAGGAACGCCCGGTTCCGGGGCGTCACGTGCGTCGGAAGTTGCTGTCTTTCAGTTCCGCTTTTCCCCTCAAAGAGCAGGCATACCTTATACCAACGCACCGGCTCGTAACAGCACGCGGATGAGTTTTGGGCGGAAGAGGCCGCCGTTGAGGGGTGTGGCGACGCCTCCGCCGTCTTACTGACAGAGTTCACGTGCTGGCCGAATCGGAGACTTGGTTATACAGATAGTTTTCTTCAACCTACTATGGCTCAACCGGAAACTCTGAACCTCAATAACGAGGTGAGTACCGAGTCCTGGGAGCGTATGGAGCTGACATTTAGAGAGCCTCAGAACCCGCTTTTCTGAGTTTTTCCGGTGTGCGCGTGATCTGCTCTTTTGAAACTCTGAGTGCTGGGGCTGGAGGTAGGTGTTGCGGCCGGAGGAGTTTCCTGATTGGCCCAGGGGGTTTCCTGGATCTTGGAGTGCGGTAATTCGCCTTGACAATTTGTGGGTAATTCAGTCAAGAGGCGCATCTCTGCTTTCAGGCCTCACGACTTATCTGTGGGACGCTGGGAAGATCGTTTACTCTCAATGTTCAGTGTCTATTAACTGTAAAACGAACCTTATTGTAGTACTTTCATCACATGGTGGTTGTGAGAATTAAATTAACCGAGCAATGTCACGTGTTTGCACCGTGCCTGGTACACAGTAAACGTTCAGTACACGTTACCTACTATTATTGAAGGGAAGAGATTCAGAGCTGTAGCTTCTCCTAAGAACCTACGGATCTTGAATGTGACGTACTATTTATATGGGTATACACTTAGCACTTTATTTCTCCCTCCAGCTGCTTTCCCATTTCTCAGCTTTCATTTATAACAACACTTGTGGGGAAAGAAAAAAAAAAAAAAAAAAAAACC